TTCCCATGAAATGGGTGAACAGGACGAAAGAAGTCATATATCCCAACAAATGACTCAAGTAGCATTGCTTGGTTATCATACTTGGGCACTGAATGTTTGCCTTTTTGTGATTGTAATCAGCCCTGAGTCCCTTTGGGGAAATAGGGCGGAATACAAATAAAGTTTATTATTATTATTATTATTATTATTATTATTATTATTATTATTATTATGTTTTTGTTTGTTTATTATAAATCCATATTGATAGAAGCAACAATAGCAATTCAGCAATAAAATGATGCAGTATAAGCACATCTAGGCAGCAACAACACTTAAGATACATAGTGCAAATTATTCAAGACATTTTCATTCATTATCTCAGTAATAGCATAGCATATTACTTTGCTTTGGAAATATAATTCTATAATTGTGGCAAAATGCTAAGCCTAAAGAAGTCTTTAGATGTTGCTGTAAAAACTATGCATTTGTCTTTTAATTGAACATAGCACAGATCTCACCCTCATTAAATCATTATAGATTTAATATGGTTTGATGTCCATGTGAATTGTCTATTAAATCTCTACTGCAGTTTAGAAATGGAGTTTGTTCACAATTATGTAGAGGCTAAATTGTCCAATCCAGGTAAATTAGATACTAGTTAGAGCTTTTTCTCCCAAGGAAACTTTTAATGTCCCTTCATAAACATACTGTTAGAAGTGTTCAGATTCTATTTGCTTGAGTATTTTTCAATGCATGATGGTTTCACTGGGACATATTGGGTTTTTTTTTTTACTGTATTATTATGAAAGAGACTGTCTCTACCTGATGTTGAGCAATCGGCTTTTTCCTGTAGGGCTGCTCTATGGCACAGCATGAATTTAGAGGACATCTACATATGGTGGGCACTGTATGTTCAACTCTTTTAAGTAGTGTTTATAGGTTTATTTATTAAAATATGTGTATGCTACTTTCAGTCTAGACATCTCAGAGTGGTAGATAATTTAGCTAACACTAACCTGGGAGATCTCTAATGCAAATTATGTCACTTACCATGCATATTATGTAGGTTACAAGAATGGTTAACTTTTCGTATGTGAGATATGGCAAATGAGTCATAAGAGCCGAGCTTCCTTTTCTCTGCCCATCCCACAAATTCTACAAGCTAATTGGAACAAGTGTTGCTGGCCAACTGTTTGTCGTGGTTTGACTTTCTGGCTTCCTGTATCAATGACAGTTCCTCTACTCTTTGGATCCCTTCTCCTGGAATAAATGTGTTTTCAGACTAATATAAACCTTGCCTTTGCCATGCATGTTCTCAACTGGGCATCTCTCCTGAATGTTGACACTCACAGCATATAAATATTATTGCTCTATAATAATTTGATGCATATTTGGCGAATAGTTTGAGCCAATGTTCTCCCCATGCTTTAATGCACCAATTCCCATGTTCACCCTTTCTCCCAAAGTGGATGACTAGAATGGCAAAGCAATCAATGGGTCAAGGTCAGTGGAAATGCAGTCTTTCTTTCCAGTAGCCCCTTGGGCAACATGGCAGATGCACTTTTTGTCTTTATCAGAATAGAAATCAAACCAAAGTATAAAGTATTTCTTAAAGAAAGATCATGCTTTGCTGTGAGTTGGTTAGTACATCATAAGAACACTGAAGGGGACAAGCAAGGGAATTATATCTGTACGTGGGGAGGTTCTAATTACTGTTCTGTCATAGTCATTTATTTCTCCCACACTGCCGTGGTTTTTTGCATGTTCTCTGGGAAAAAATTCGGTTAGAACATTCTGAATAGGACATCAGTATTTAATTGCTTTATTGGTAAGAGGAAAGTGTTATTGAGTGATTTAAAACGTGTCCTCAATCAGTCAAGCAGCAGGTGTTTTCTTTGAGATTATATATATATATATATATATATATATATATATATATATATATATAAAATTTTAATTGCAGGGTTTTTAAAAGCCAGAGTGGAGGTCAAAGACATCATTTCTTATCTCACACGCGGGAAAAGTTTATCTCTGTTGGGTTTGCATCATCTACAGAAATAAAGTATGAGCTTTCAGAATTATTGTGTTCGCTAATATTCAGATTTGTTTTATTAATGCATTACAGTTTGGGGTGAACAAAGTTCAAAAACTTTCATATAAACCTTTCCTCTGAGTGGCTTCCAGGGGACATGTGAACAATTTTGCTATGTTTTGCATCTCCCCAAACCATTTTAGGCCGAGGAGAGGCCTTTTCCTTTAAGCAGGGAGTGGTTTCTGGTTCATGCCCAATTAATTTTTTCAATAAAGAGCATCTCCTGGGCTTCAACAGGCCAGGGAGCCTCGAGAATGGGTGACACTGCCCCCTATTTCCTAGAGGGCATTTTGGGACAAAAATTGTTTTGATTTATTTTCTTTTGCAGGGTAGTATTACCCCTACAATGGGAGCCCCCTGCGGCGCAGCAGTTTAAACTGTTGAGTTGTGGAATTTGCTGACCAAAAGGTCGGTGGTTTGGATCTAGGGTGTGGGGTGAGCTCCTGCTGTTAGCCCCAGCTTCTGCCATCCTAGCAGTTCGAAAACATGCAAATCTGAGTAGATCAGTAGGTACCACTTTGGCAGGACGTAATGGAGCACCATGCAGTCATGCCAGCAACATGATCTTTTAGGTGTCTATTTATTTATTTTATTTATTTATTTACTGTCCTTGTATACCGCCGTTTCTCAGCCTAACTGGCGACTCAACGCGGTTTACAACAAAGTATGCAGTACACAGTATACAATTAAAACCATAAAAACATAATACACAATATTACACGAAATCACAAAATCACAATCCAATACATCTCCTAACTAAAATCGTGGTCCAATTGCATCATCCATATTACCAATCCGTAATCAACACATTCATTGCACCGAGTTAGCCAAATGCCTGTTTGAACATCCAAGTTTTTAGTCTTCTTCGGAATACCATCAGCGAGGAGGCTGATCTTACCTCCATGGGAAGGGCGTTCCAGAGCCGAGGGGCCACCACAGAAAAGGCCCTGTCTCTCGTCCCCGCCAGCCGCACCTGTGAAGCAGGCGGGATAGAGAGCAAGGCCTCCCCAGAAGATCTTAGGGTCCTGGTGGGCTGATAGGCCGAGATACGTTCGGATAGGTAGGTTGGGCCAGAACCGTTTAGGGCTTTAAAGGCCAACGCCAGCACTTTGAATTGAGCCCGGTAGCAAATCGGCAGCCAGTGGAGCTGGTGCAGCAGAGGAGTTGTGTGCTCCCTGCGCTCCGCTCCAGTTAGTATCATGGCTGCCGACCGTTGGACTAATTGGAGCTTCCGAGCCGTCTTCAAAGGCAACCCCACGTAGAGAGCGTTGCAGTAGTCTAAACGGGATGTAACCAGAGCGTGGACTACCGTGGCCAAGTCAGACTTCCCAAGGGACGGGCGCAGTTGGCGCACGAGTTTTAACTGTGCGAATGCACCCCTGGTCACCGCCGAAACCTGGGGTTCCAGGCTCAGCGATGAGTCCAGGATCACACCCAAACTGCGAACCTGCGTCTTCAGGGGGAGTGCGACCCCATCCAACACAGGCTGTAACCCTATGGACAACGCTGGCTCTTCGGCTTAGAAATTGAGATGGGCATCACCCCCAAGAGTCAGACATGACTAAACTTAATGTCAAGGGGAAACCTTTACCTTTTACTACCCCTCCAAAGGTACTGCTGGGCCCCCTTACCTCTGTTATACAAGCACCCAGGCCATTCAGGACAATTTTATACCTCCCTGCTTCTTGCAGATATTAATTCAGCTACAACCTACAATGTTGCAAAGTTCTGTGCAGCAGCATACAAAATCCGTCAGGGAATGACTAGTCCCAAAAGTTAACTGTGTGTCCAGTAATCTTCTTCTCTGAATCTACAATTTGGTGATGGATCTGGGCATTGTATGTTTTTAACCTGTTTCCCCTTCCCTTTCGCTCCCTCACCCATATTGTGCTTCAGTAGTTATATTTGTATTTTTAATGTGCCAAACATACCAAGTTTGTATGAAAGTGTGACTCTATTTCCTGTACTGGTCAATGACCGAAATAAATGATTTGATTTGATTTGCTGGGCCCCCTTAACCCCTGATAATTGCCCAGAGTTGTCATTATTAGAAATACTAAGATTTCTTCATTTGGGCCACTATTGTGGTTGCCAGGAAGACACCCTTTTTCTTAGAGTGCTGCTATGGAATGTGGGGTTATGTTAGAGTTGTCTCTGCTTGAAAACGGGGTACTTAGTTGCCCATAAGCACGATCTTTTCATCCCCACTGTTCGCCACAGCATTCTGTTGTTTGACATGCCTCAGATTGGTATTCAGTGTAGCCCTTTGCTAGAACTGCTCACTGTGCAGTACTGAGAGTGCTGCCTGGAGATTTTGTGAATTGTGGTCCAAAAAAGTAAGACTTCTTAGCTCTGGTTTATGCCAGTACTCTTGTGTAGGTGGCTTTCCACAGGGGAGGGGATTGTATGTCCTTTAGAAATGCTTTTTATGTGTTGAAATAAAGATTCCTTTAGTAAAAAATATAAATAAATTCAATGCAGCAACAGCCAATTAAAAAAAAAACGGTGATGATGCTGTCACTTTGATCTGTTCTCACCCACTGCATTTGTCTCCTTAATCTGTCACTTGTCAACAGGCTATGTTGTTAGCAATTTTCTGCTTTGTTCCTTATTCTTAACCCGAATAAAGAATGAATTAAATGTTAAATATTATAAAGGAGAATATTATGATAAACTTGGTGACTAAATGAAAATGTGTGTGTATGTTAAACTTGAGGACTATCACTATTTATTCCTTGTTATTTATGCCTCAGGTACTAAATTTTCTGTTAAAAAAAAGAAAATAACACAAAAACTTTTCTGTCTAAAGAATACTTGTGTTGATTTGTTCCATTTGAATTTGTTTGTGCCCCGTGGCAGGAAAGGAATTACACATAGTGTTCAGATTTTTGCCAAGAATCCTTTCAAAAATATTAATTGTTCCTTCCAGTTCAGCAAATGCTACTCCAGAATTTGAAGGCCGAGGTGGAGAGGAGCTGGGCACTGAAATCGCAAACACCCTCTACAGAATATTTGACAATAAGAGCAGTGTCGACTTGAAGTTGCTTTGCATTAGTCCCAGAGAGCACTGCTGGGTGCTTTATGTTGATGTCTTGGTAAGTAAAATAAATTTAAGCATAACACCAAATTTGAAAAAAAATCTGTTTCTGGTTTGAAAGTATTATTTCCTGTTTAATTCTGCAGTACTTACTTTGAAAGTCTTGTTAAACTTTGTTTTTGTGGCTGCCACAAACTATGTGTTGTCGATTGTTAGCCGCTCTGAGTCCCTCTACGAGGGAGAGAGGGCGGGATATAAAACAAAGTAAATAAATACGTTGAATTGGTTAAGACTCTGTGACATATTCATTCAAAAACTATAGCAAAATGTGCTGCAGGATGTCCTGTAAAAACAAAGTTTTTGCATTTTAATAAACTGTTTTCATGATAGAACCAATTAGGAAATGACATTCATAATCCAGGAACAAAAATTGTGTTACATAGCATAATTTAAAGATGAGCTTCAGAAAACTTATTGCTTGGTTCAATAATTATGATTATATTTCTCTCAAAGCTGGGGTAGATAGTGTTAATGTAACCACATCCGTAGATGCCATTTAGGTTGATCTTCCATTATATCATATTGCTCTGTGTAATGAAGGATCCTAATTCATTGTGGTCAGGCACACCTCCATTGCAGAGCCAAATTCAGAGGCAGGGTAGCTTTTCCATTGCTTCAAGCAAGCATTTTTGTGTTGAAATGGTGATTAGTTTTCTGACTGCATCAGCCCCAGAAAATATCGGCTCCATACATGTAGTCCAGTTTGGTTCTGCAAAGCCTCTTCATGGGAATACAAAACAAGATTCAGGAGGGTCAACGTCTTATTTTTAGGACGACTCACCACTTCTGAAAGGGTCAGGAGCAGAAATGTTCATTTCAGAAGCAGAAATTCATTTTTTAAAAAGTACACAGGAAGTCATATGTGAGCTCTAGGGTAGCATAGGGTATAAAAGCGGGGCCTCCTGGCATATGATTTGTGTCCCTGCTTATAAACAACATATGGGGAATGAGCACCTTGTTTTGAACCAAGTGGTTGCTTTAAAGCAAGGGCCTTCAAACTTTTAAAGCAGAGGACCGGTTCACTGTCACTCATACTATGCACACTGCAGATATATTACTTGTACTGCAAAAAAACATGGAAGAACAATACAGTATTTAAAATGATGAACAATTTAAACCAACATAAACTTGGATTCAGGTTTCAATGGGAACTGTGGGCTTGCTTTTGGCTGATCAGATAGTCAAGTTAATTCAGGTTGTTGTTGTTGTTGTTGTTGTTGTGTGACTTGAAGTTGTTTCAGACTTTGGGTGATCCTAAGTCTAAAGTTTAGACCAGGGGCCGTGTGAATGACTTTGGAAGGCTGCATCCAGCCCACGGGCCTTAGTTTGAGAACCCCTGCTTTAAAGAGTTACTTGCTGTGTTTTTGCACTGAAATTCAGTAGCTTGGCAAAAAATGTAAAGGCAAATTTGTGTGTGTGTGTGTGGGGGGGGGTGGTTACCAGTGCTGCAATGATGACAGACAGTTGCAGATGGTACAAAAATGGCTAAGGGGACATATAGTGAGTTGTTTCATATTGTCTTATACTTCTTTCATTTTGTTAGCACTCATGTAAGCCTCATTCTGGAAGAAAGGCAGGATATATATAGATAGATATAGATATAGTGGGACTGCAGTGGCGCAGCAGGTTAAATCACTGAGCTGCTGAACTTGCTGACTGGAAGGTTGATGGTTCAGATCAGCAGAATGGGGTGAGTTCCTGTTGTCAGCCCCAGCTTCTGCCAACCTAGTAGTTCGAAAACATGCACATGTGAGTAGATCAATAGGTACCATCCTAGTGGGAAGGTAATGGCGCTCCTTGCAGTCATGCTGGCCCCGTGACCTAGGAGGTGTCTACGGACAACGCCAGCTCTTCGGCTTAGAAATGGAGATGAGCACCAACCCCCAGATTGGATGTGACTAGACTTAATGTCAAAGGGAAACCTTTAACTTTCAGTATACAGTAGAGTCTTGCTTAGCCAACCTTTGCTCATACAACATTCTGTATTATCCAACACACTCTGCCTCCTGCCCGAATCCACAGCTGTTTCAATACATTGTGATGTTTTGTGGCTAAATTCATAAATACAGTAATTGCTACATAACGTTACTGTGTATAACTGCTTTTTCTTTCTGTCTTCCTGCACACAATTTGCTCTGAGCTTCCATTGTGCTGTTCTTGAAATGTGACTTGTATTTGAAAAATCTTGGAGATGAGAAATGGTCATGAAAGGCATCCAGTTGTTTAAGGAAATTACTAGCTTTAGACAGGATCCTCAAATAACACTGTTCAACGGAGAAAAAGTTGCGGGCCTGAAAATAGTTGTTCTTTTATGATTTTGGGGTGCTGAAAACGAAAATGACATTTAAAAATGTATATTGGCTCTAGTTTTTATGATATAAGCAATCACGTGATCACGTATGGTTGAAAAAATGCATGTTGCGACTTACACTATGGAAGATTCTAGAATATTCTAGAAAGTTTGATGACGCAGTATTAGTGCCATGTGCAAAAGCCAGAAAACCCTATATAAGGCCAGACTTTTGAACGGTGAGGGTCAGTCAGTTGAAAACTGAGACGGTATCGTTAAACATCGTTTTACATTGTTCTTTTTACTGTAGTTATGCCTCGCACGTGTGTAAATAAAGCACTATGGAAAAAAGATATCAAGGCAAATGGACTCCGTCAATGCTGTCAGACTACTGCTGGAGCATTGTAAGAGACAATCCTTTACTTGAATACAAAAGAAAAGTCAAGAGAAGCAAACAGGATATAAACTAAAGTCACGATTAAAGCGACATTTAAACTTTCAGACTTTTCAACTGCATTAGGCCTACTAATATAGTTTCTTGCTGCACAAACATAAACAATAGACTAATTAAATAAATATTTCTCATGTATAAACTATTGGCAATATAATTTGACTAAAATTTAGTAAATATTCACAGTTTATATACATGCAGTAAGGTTAGGCGCATTATCATAATATTAACGAATTACCTATTGTGGAGAAAATTGAAATAGCTGTTGCATAAAAACCAGAGCCAATTAACACATTTAATTATTATATTTGAATTCAGCATGTTAAATTTATTAAGAAACGGCACATTTCGTTTACGAAACTGAGAAAAACTGAAAATTTGTAGAACAGTGTAATGGAATCATTTCCCCAATACTAGTACAGTATGTCCAAACTTTGATGACCCAGTTTTAAATCAATTAAATATCTTCAGCCATCTATTACTTAAGTACATAAACTTTGTACTGAGGGCTTTTCTTGGTCTTCTTACTAGTTAAATACTAAAATAGATCCCTTTGAATAGTAAACTCAATCCCATGTGATTTTATGTAGGTGGTTTAGGATCATTTCATATTACACATGTCCTTCTGTCCAAAGTGTTTTTGGCTTCATAAGATACTATCTTTTTAATTTATTTACTGGAAAGCACTATATTTTTATTTAGATTTTAAACCATTACCAAAATGAGAAAAATATTTGCACTGTGTAATCCCCAATCTATAGCCAATCCCTGAGATCCAAGCCAAAAAATCTGCAGGCTTGTTTTTTTAAAGGTTTGTTTGATTAGTCCTCTTATCATTGAACACATTTAGTGATTTGGTGATTTATATTCAAATATCTTTGAGGGAGAAACAGCACGGATACTATACATTCAGAGGTTTTTGGATTGCTACATTTGTAAGACTTCTCATATAAAAATAACTATTTTTTTTTACTTCAGCTGTTGGAATGCGGTGGCAACTTGTTTGATGCCATTTCCATTGCAGTAAAAGCAGCTCTATTTAATACCAGGTAAGTGAGCATACATGATTTTCAAAAGAGAATTTATGTAGCAAAAGGCTCTGTTTTAGCCTGAATCAGAGATGGGTCACTCTCTCCATGACTCCCAGTTTAGTTCTCCAGCCAGGTTCAAAACACTAATTCCATCAAGCTTCCTAACTTTGGCAAGCGGTCTAGTTAAAAACATCTTGTCCTGTGTTTTTCTTCTTGCTATATTATATAATCCTTACATAGCAGTTTGGCCAAGTACAAAACAGTTCTGGGCTGTTTATTTGAAAGGAAAAACCCTCAACTTTGGAATAAATCCGTATTATTCTGGGAATGTGCCTTTCCTCTGTCACAGATGGGAAGGCTGTTCTAAATTATTTGCTGATATAATTTTATTTGTAAAAAGTTTACAAAAGGAGAACAAAACTTTATTCCAAGGTTTAGTGAAAAGCCCTTCTATTCCGGTGTTTTTGTGTGTATTTAAAACTGACTGCAAGCTAATGATAACAAAAGAAATTGTCAGCTTTGAACTGACTGAGTGCATGTAACTATTTATGGTAAATGTGATAGATCATAACTGTGTTGCTATAAGTAAAACAAGAAGTGCTATGTTGTGTGTGGTGCTTTTTCATTTTACAGTTGTATCTTCCCCCACCTGATGCTCTCCCAGATGTTTTGGGTAAATTCTAAACAACACCAGTTGGAATGCCCAATGATCTC